AAGATGCCGGTCAAAGTTGCTGGAAAAACGTTAGAAAAAAAAACTAAAAGAACCCGCCCACACAGCCCGGAAGACCCACACCAGCCACAATATTTATTTCCTTTGTACAATCTTCAACATACCTGTTTAAACTGTGTTACAGATGCTATCCAAAAAAAAAGGACAGCTGTTGTTACAAATGTCTAAAGAATTAGATTTTAAGGGTTGTTTTCAAAATCAGCTTTTTAATCAGCATAGCTTGAAAATGCTCACACACACACACACACACACACACACATATACACATCTCTAGTACAGCCCACCTTTTTAAATACAGAAATTATATAAATAAATAGAAGAATGTATATTAAACTGGTATAAATGAAAACTATACAGTTAAAACCTTTTATTTTCATTGCCCCTTAATTATTCTTTTTTGTATGCACTTTTCCAGTTTCTCAGCAGGCAAAGCTCATACTGAAATAAATGGAAAATCTGTCAGCAGAGCAGCTGCAAAATTAACTGAAAATAATAGTAATAATTATTATAATTGCATTGATATGCCACCCTTACTACTGCAATTAGGATGCTGAATAAAATTAAAATACAATACAATTACATTTTAATTGATTAATTAACTAAATCATATTTACATAATGCAACTACTGTCATAAAGTATTTTTCTACTATGCTGTTCATAAATGTCAGTAGAAAACACACAGATCAAAATTCAAAAACTTAATTATATTCATTATTTTCCCTCATATTTACCAAATAAATCCTTACTAGCTTTCCTTATACAAATATAAACTGTTCAGCTTCTTGTGACAGTTCCAGCATTATGAACCAGATTTATTTCCTAGTTAGATGTCGCTGGTACTACTTGTTAGTAGCAAAATACAATTTGCATCCTAGACAAATGGCCAAGGTGTATGATTTGAAATTATTGAAACCATAAATGATACTTCTGAAAATGATACTAATTTATTTACTAGGGCTTCTACACTGCTAAATTCTCATAGGCTCTAGCCACTTATGGTTCTTTGGTTGAAATAATGTCAAAGGATTATAAAGTCTAATCACTTTGACAATGGGCAACCTTGTTTAACAAAACAATGGTAGAAGGACATTTCTCAGCAGTGATGTTTCTTACATGAAATAGTATGGCAGCTTTGTACTGGAGAATGCAAGCTGCTGCAGATTTTTGTTCGAACTAAGGTCATCAGAAGTGGCCATCTAGGGACCAGTTATTTGTTGTTGATTCCATGTGTTTCTGGAGGTGCTGAATCAGCTGGTATTAGCATGCAATATCCTTAGAAGGCTGATAGGGCTTCCTTGCTCAGGCAGGGTCTTCCTCAATGCTGACATCTGCACTAGGCCTAATGTATGGGTAAGAACTGTCATTTGAATTTCACATGCCACATGATCTGGACCGAGTGATCTTGCATGGGATAGAGCAATCTTGCTCTTGCTTGCAACCTCCCACTGCCAGTCCTATCATTAGGTAGCAGTAGATTTGGGAGATAACGAACAAGCAAGAAATGGCCATCTCCTTGGTTATTCCTGTATTTTTATTCCCAGAAAGGGAGGAGATGCTGAATGGATTTTCTGCCTTCTGCCAAAACAAGTTAAATATTTATGCACCTTAGTAAATGTGGATGTGGCACCCTTTTTTCATCCTCAGGTGACAACAGGTCTTGTCCACTGACTTAAGGAGGTACATGTGTGGGCAATCTGATCTTAACCCATGCTTCCAAAATAGCTACAAATATAGCCATCTATGTGAATTGGTAATTTAATAAATTATATTTTCAGGGATGAAAAATAGACAAATATGCATACACACATGTTTGTGTGCATATGCATGTGTGTTGACAAGTAGCAGCAACTAATTGAATTTGCCTGTGCTTAGAAATTAAGCAGAGTCAATCCTAGTTATTACTTGGATGGGAAACTATCAGAGAATTGCAAGGCTGAAGCTTAGATTAGGAAGCTGAAAATCATAATTGCTAGAAGAAGGTAATGGTGAACCACTTTTGTATATTGCTAAGAAACTACTGGATTGTCCCTATGTGGCCTCTCTCCCTGACCAGGTCCTGGGGTGCTCCTTGGTTTTCTGAGGAGCTTCAGGAAATGAAACACAAGAAGAGTTTTCTGGAGCACTATTGGAAGAAGATGAAGAATGAATACAATGAAGTATGAGTAAAAATCCATATTAGGGATTACATCATGGTGATAAGGGTGATGAAATGTTCATATTTCTCCATGGTTATTGCATCTGCTAGTAGCCATCTGGCAGCCTGTTTAGGGCAACCTGGTCCCTGCTGGGGAGGAATGGGTTGCAGGACTATCTGCAGGCTGCTATGAGGAATATTCTTACTATTTGGCATATAAAGTCATTTGAATTTGTTCTGAGTTGGACTGGACAGGTTGGATTGAGGTGCCTGGGCAAGGATTTGTATCTAGAGTGAGTTTGGTCCTGTGACATCCAATGAAGTGGATAGAGTTCTCCAGTCTATTAGGTCAGCCACCAGTTTGTTAGATCCAGATCCCCCCTGGATGGTTAAAATCACCCAGGAGGTGACCTGAGCACTGATGTCACTTATTTGAGGGAAGGAGTAATTCCCTTAGCCTTGAAGGAGGATTATCTCAAGAAGACATTGCTGGAACCAACAGTCCTGGAAAACTATTATCTGGTCTCCAGTCTTCCCTTTTTAGGGAAGGGAGTGGAGAGGATAGTCAAGCTTCAGTTCCAGGGGACTCTGGAGGAAGCAGATTAAACATATCTGGTTCAGTTGGTTTCAGGCCAGGGTTTAGTATGGAGATTGCATTGGTCATACTTGTTGATTTCCTTGTGTTCATGATCTCTCCGTGACTTTCAATATTGTTGACCATGGTATCTTTTTGGGACAGCTTCAGGATGGGAGGCACTGATTTACAGTGGTTTTTCATTTTCTGTGGCCAGCTTTAATCAGTGTTGACAGGTAGGGAGATATTGCACGCATGGCACCTCACTTGTGGGGTGGTGCAGGGTTCCATGCTCTTTCCTCATCTGTTTAACATCTGCATGAAACCATTGGGTGATGTCATCTGCCAGTTTAACATCAATATGCGGATGAAACCCAGTTGTACCTCTCAACCCCTAGCAAGCCAAGTGATGCGGTCAGTATCCTGACCCTGTACTTGGAGGTTGTGCAAATACAGATGGGGAGGAACAGAGTAAGGCTCAATCCTGACAAGACTGAATGGTTTTGTCTATTTGCCTCCCCCTGCCCCCCTCCCAACAATCTGGAGGCATTCCACGTTGATTTTCAGTGGGATTGCAGTTCCCCATTGGAGTCTTGTGGCTCATTTGGGGTTCCTCTCAGCTTGTAGAATAGGTGGGAGCTGTGGCCAAGAGGGCCTTTGCATAGGAACATCTTGTGCCCACTTGTGCCCTTTCTCGGTCAGGAGGCCCTTCAGACATTCATGCCCTAGTCATCTCACGACTGGATTACTCTAGACTGGATTACTTTAATAATGCGCTCTACTTGGCTGCCTTTGAAGTCCATCCATAAGCTGCAGCTGTACAGAATGTGACAGTGTGAGTGGTGATGGGGTCACCACATTATTCATGCATAGTGACGATGATTGTGGAGCCTTCTTTTTTTTTAATTTTGATTTGTTTTGGTTTTAGTGTGGTACTTTATTCTTCTGATCTGTTGTATTTTCTTTTAATAAGTAGGGTTTGTGTTTTAGTTTAAAGCCACCCATATTTGTTTGGGAGTTGATCAAATAAATAAAAATATATGTGTGTATGAAGTTACCAGACATTGAATGGACTTGAAAGAGACTTCAGTATTTCTATATATGTATCCCAGAATTGTTCTGAGCTGCCTACTTCCTTGCCAATTTACTTCTTAAAGAGCTTGTGTACATTAAAAACTTCCACAAGTTTTCCATAACATGTATTTTAGTCTGGTCAAAAAGAATATGTACCTTTTTTAAAAAAGTGCAAAACTACAGTAATTTTTGGAGTGAATGTGTTCAGAATTTCAACGATGTCTTCTCCTTTCCTGCCACTAGATGTCAGAGGTGCACTGCAGCAGCAATTGCTGTCTGTTGCAGATAATGTGTTATTTCAAAGGCTGTAAGACAGTGTTTCTCAACCTTGGCAACTTTAAGACATGTGGACTTCAACTCCCAGAGTTCCCCAG